ACATGCATAAATCTGGTGTTATTGCCCAAAATGGATATTGTGACCTTTTTTTTGATAAGATAAGTGGTATTAATAACAGCATCAAGAAGATGCAAGATTTACAAGATATGGCATTTGAGCTTACAAAAAAATCTCTGGCTAACTATACAAACTATCTAAGCCAGAGCTAATGAGTTAGTAAAATCCTGAAGTTGTTCTGCATTAACAGCAGGATACAAGTTGGTCCAACTAAACAAATTTTCAGTGCACCTAGTCTTCAAAATGCCTAAAGCAGTTGACTCTCCATCAAAACATCTCTTGTTCCTCTCTAACCAAATACACCAAAAAATACAAGCAGGTATCATAATCCAGATCTTCTTGATGGCTTTGTCAACTTTCCATAGACTCCAACTCTCATATGCATCCTTAACAGTGAGGGGTGTGGTCCAATTGATGCCAGAGAGACAAAAAAACATGCTCCATAATTCTGAGGCCACCTCACAATGAAGAAGAAGGTGTCTGGGGTTTCAGCCTCTTTTTTGCACATATAGCATCTGTTTGGGAATTGGATTTTTCTTTTCTTTATGTTGTCTTGGGTGAGACATGCCTCATATAGAGCTATCCAGGTAAAAAAAACTACCTTAGGTGGTAGCTTGGTCCTCCAAATGAGTTTCCAGGGCCAGTTATCTATCACAGGATTTCTAGAGCACAATTGTTGATACCTTCCTTGACTGTATAAACTCATTTCTGGTGTCCCCACTTGAGCTTATCAGCTGCCTGGAGATTAATGTGACAGTGTTGTAGTCTAGCAAAAAGGTTTACCAGATCATTCACTTCCCAATCGTGCATATTCCTTCTAAATCTCATATCCCAATTGATCCCTTCTCTATTAGCAGCAATAACAGAATTGGGATCTTGAGCAATTGTAAACAAATCTGGGAAATTCTCCTGAAGAGTGTTATTTCCAAGCCATTTGTCTGTCCAAAATTTTAGGAGTAAACCATTGCCCAATTCAAAGTAAGCGTTCTGATCAAATGTGTCCCACAACATCCTAATACTCTTCCACAGTCCCACTCCGTAAGGAAGTGTAGTAATATTTGTGCACCATTGATTCAGCCTTCCATGCTTAGCTATGATGACCTCTTTCCAGATCCCTGCGTCTTCCAAGTTGTATCTCCAAAGCCACTTCATCATCATACTTTTGTTGTGGACTGCAAGGTTCTTATTAGCCTAGGAATTGTTCTTGACAACAATAAAGATGATAAGGCCATTTGGACCCATACTACTACCGGGCTATTCAGCATTTGTTTGGCTTGGAGCAACATCAGAAAAAAAAAAAAAATCAGAACATCTCCAATAATGTTTGGAGCAGCAGCATTCCTTTTAAAATGTCTTTTCTTACTTGGAGGGCGATTAATGATAAATTATCTACTAATGATAAAGTGGCAAGATTAGGCATCAATATTCCTCGAGGATGCCACTGTTGTGATGATGTTAACAGAATCAATATAATTGAGACGGTAGATCATTTTTTTTGTCAAGGCGATCATGCCAAGAGAGTGTGGAATAATTTTGCGGGTCCTCTGGGAATCAGTTATAGGAACATCTGTCTGAAGATGCTTTTGATAAATTGGTGGAATTTGAGGACTTGCAACCCCATAGCTGCTTTCATCGCTAAAACTCTACCTTCCATTATTTGTTGGGAATTGTGGAGAGCAAGATGTAGTAGCAAGTTTGAGGATGAAAAACCTTCACTCTATAGAACAAAAACTAATGACATTTTTACTATTTTGCAGGTTACAAGGTTCCTTTAGCAAGGCCAGAATTGGAGCAACATGGGATAGCATATGCCAAATATTTGAAGCTGAAATCCAACAAAGGACATTTATCATGGTTAGATGGCTCAAACCACCTACACTGATAGTAAAACTCAATAGTGATGGGAGTTGCCTTCAAGGAAATTGTGGAGGCGGCGAAATAATTCGAGATAATCAAGGCTTTCTGATTTTTGCCTATTCGATAAATCTCGGTCAAGGCACAAGCAACATGGCAGAAACAACCGCAATGCTATTTGGGCTCAACTGGTGTAAGAACAGAGGCTACGACATGGTATGGGGAGAGACAGACTCCATGTTGTTGACTAAACGGATAAAAAAAGAATGGAGACCTCCTTGGGCACTTGAGAACCAGATTCAGGAGATTCAGAAGTTAGTTGATTACCATGGTTTTAATATCAGTCACTGTTTTAGGGCGGCTAACAAACCTGCTGATAAACTAGCAGCCCTCGGTCATGGTTTGGTTGGAGTACATGTCTTCAACTCCTTCTCGGAACTTCCTAGACATGTTAAGGGTCTAGTTAATATGGACAGATGGGATTTTCCTTCCTTCAGATCCAAAAACTTTTAAACCAGCAACTATTGTATATGACCCCCCTTGACCTCTGCATTTCTACCAGAGCTACAGTTAGTTTAGGAAACAAACTGCTTTGTCTCTACTCTATGCTCATGTAATCAGTTTGGTATGCCAAACTCAAACTTGTAATTTTTGCTCATCAATGATCAAAGGAGGCAGTTTAATTAAAAAAAAACATCACGTCTGTTCAAAGTTTAATCATCGATAGCTAGGTTCATCTATCAAACAAACTTTTTAACCATTACTTTAATATTTTCCTCAGCAATCACAAATACAATATGTAAAGTCAAATTAAAATATTAACCTCCGTGTCCACGTCAAACACCATAAGGAAGTAACAACTTATTCTTTATATACAACGAAAAATCTCACAGAAACACTTGGAACCCTAATCAGATCTCCTACATGATATTCCCTAGAAATGCACATGACAAAGAACAAGAGAACAAGATGACCTCACTAATCAAAAATCAATATCTCATATGTCTGGTAAAACTAGATTTTTGAAGATATTGAAGCTTTGCATGGCAGATAGTGATATAGGATCCTCTAATTTTCAGCAAAACATCACTAATTTCTGTATGATTTTTGCCTCCAAGAACGAACTGCTTAATGGCTAAAAGTTAACAAAAAAGTCTAGAGAAACTTAGCGGCTAAAACAAGGCTGGCATGCGAACAACAAGTCTGATTATGAATCATGCCTAGATACTAAAATTATCTCCAACTCTTATCTTTTTTGGCAACACCCTGTCAAATGTATAAAGACGTTTTGCCTATAATCTATCATATGAGGCTTGCAAAACCTTCAGAAGAGCATTTTTTGTCCAAAAAAAATAATCTTCAGAAGAACATTTACAAGCAATAATTCCCAATATCTTTGAATCCCAACAGATACAACAACAACATACCCAGTGTAGTCCCACAAGTGGAGTCTGGGGAGGGTAGGATGTATGCAGACCTTACACCCCTACTTTTGTGGGATAGAGAGGTTGTTTCCGATGAATCCCAATAGACACACTTATTCAAACTTACTTTGTTACTTCTACCATCAGGTTATTTATTAAGCAAATCGAAGAGTAGCCTAGCAAGAAATCTCTTGGAAGGTTGATCCACATCTTTTCCAACCAAAACAGCCCTCTTATAATGGAACACAAGAAATTTGATTAGCCCTATACCTTTGAAATACAAGTTCTAAATGCTCATATAGGAAGCAATGTTATCAAAGGCGGGAAAAAAAAGGAGCACTGAGGTCTGTTGGGATTTAAGTGCAAAGAAAAATGATGGTTTGATGAAGAAAGGTGCAAATTTAAATATAAATGCAATCAAAGAACAATAACTGCAAACACAAAAACAATTATACAAAAAGATATGGAACTGTATAATTAAGTGAAATAGTTATTGTTTAGTGATGCTAGCTTCAAGAAAGATCCATGCATGATCAAACGCATCCCTCAGCACCTATCTGAACTAAAGAGCAGTGCAAGAGAGAAATGTAATCAGCCTGCTTTCCATCTAGTTTCAGGGCTTAACCACGCCATCACACAAGCCTTTGACAGCAAAAAACTGAAGTCAACTCCTGAGTCTGAAACCTAGAGAGTTGCTCCAGACAATTTTTTCTTTGTTGTCCAATAAAAGGGGATGTTTACATATGTGTGTAGACATAAGTAAGTCTTAACCAACTTCACCTCATCAGATTCTGAAGATGATGAAGTGTATCAGAAATCACTCCTTTTCAACTGAAGCTTTTGACAACCTTACCAAATTCAAAAAAAAAACTGAAGCTTTTGACTAACCCATGCTAATGCTCTTGCCACCATATTATGATTTATATCCCATAGTTAAAACTACTCTAACTCCCACTTTAAACTGTCCTAATTTGAACCTTTGTTAAATCAAAATTGTGTTCACTTTCTTAGAAACACACACACACACACACACACATATATATATATATATGTATATATATGTGTGTGTGTGTCTTAGGCTGAGGGTCAATTGGAAACAACCTCTCTACCTGTCAAGTTCCCACCTGATCCTGCAAGTCTATAGTCTATACAACTTGTTTTGATGGCAATCATTGGTCGCTTGCTTTATTGGAAGGACGGATGAAATTATACCTTTCCTGTTCTCGCTATTACTTACTATTACTACGTAAATAGTTTCTTTTGGCATTCGTCTTTCTCGCTCATTACTTAGCTTGGGAGTGGGGGAAACTGAACATCATTCAAGGGATAAGGTTGCTTACACACTACCCTTCACAGACACCACTTAGAGGACTACATTTGGTATGTTGTTGTTGTTGTTGTTGTTGTTGCTGTTGCTGTTGTATATATTACTGGAATAAGAAAGTTCAAATTTTTCCAAAAAATTAGCTTTTTGAACTCGCTTCTATTTAAATAAAATTTCAATTTTCACCTCAATAGCTGATTCCAATCAATATCAATCAACTATGGCCTTAATTCATACTAATTGGGGTTATGAATCCTATGTCATCATTCTGTTCTATTCAGACTGATTTCATTCCAATACTATGTCAATAAAATTGGAACTAGGAAATACAACTTCAATAATGCCAATAGATCATTATAATATGCAAAAGAGAGACTCACCAAATCCCATTTGATCTTTATAAGAGGAAAAAGGTTCATCCACAGGTTTCCTAGGAGTAATATCCTTCACCAATTCATCATACGCCTTCCTCTCAGACGCTTCTTCTAGTTTCCTCAACCGAGCTTTGAGTTCCTCGCTTTTTTCTCTAGATTTTGGACTGCAGAAGACAAAATTGGATCCGGATAACAAGCCCATCAGATCAGGTCGTGTTGCAGGGTTAGACCCAATCCAAACCGACCTCAGATGTTTGTATGGTACCGTGGGATGATCGGAAAGGGAAGACGCGAGTTCTTTCAGGTCATCGGAGAGTTCAACTCCTGCGGAAGCTCCGGCGAGAAACAAACGTATGGTCTCGGTGGTTGAAATAATAAGGCCAGCGTTTATGCCATCGACAACGGTGGTTTTCGTGGTGGCGCCGGTACTGGAGGGGTGGCTAGAGGCACCATTGTTTTCTGCTGAAGCCATTTTAATTTGAGATTCAGAAGTGAGAATCGCAGAACCAGATATGCATTGAAGTCCTTATGTCCAGCTAGGAGATCAGTATGAAGTAATTTGGGAGCAATTTCCGTCCTGCTTCATATCAAATGAGGAGTATTAAGGAACAATTCAGCTGGAACAAAAGAAAAAGGGGAAGAGAAATACTTACAGATCTACAAATTTGGAGCACTAGGTTTCGACTCTCTTACGAGATTCCCCACCAGAAGGTACACCTACAAAGAAGAAGACATTTTCAGATGCAAGGAAGAAAGCTTGATTTATTATACGCTTTCTGTTCACATGATTCTTGCATTGCATGACATCCCGTCTATATAACATGTTTCAGGCCAAAAATATTTCTTTTTAGATTACGATTTTATTATCGTGGTATTGCGTGCAAAAAGCTTGGTATTTCCATTACGCAAGGTTGCCAACTGAGGTTTATTCAAAACACCATTTTCAATTTGCTCTATTTCATGTCATTACATGTCAGTATGTGCTTATTGTTTTTATCATTCAGTTCTTCTTGAAGATCGCAAATGTAAAATAAGTATTTTCAGTATATGACATATCGCCAGACCTGTTATGAAGCTATTTGGCATTATTGGATGATAGCTTGATTTTTTTTTCTAGCCAAGAAAATGAGATATTGGATCATCTTCAATGAGTGTTGGAAACATAATCTCAACAATGGGAGTGGATATTTTATTGCAGAAGTTGAAAAGATGTGGTATGTCATATAATGTTTTTGACATTCTAACCAATTTTCCTCATGAATATGTGGCTTAAGGCTACTCCATCCATTACTGCCACTACTTCTCTAGATATCCAATTGTTTGAAATCAAAATGTACAGGGAAAGTAGCCACAATGTTTTCAGGCTAACATGTATTCTTATGTATGGACTAGGAGCATGGCATGACTGGTTTTAACAACTGAAGAGTATTTAAAAGATACATGTCTGCAGTAAAGTTGTTTGTGGAAGGAATGGGAGAAATTAGTTGTATTATTGCACTTTGAACTTCATGTGTTTTAAGTCTATCAGATTTGACATTTATAAAAGATATATGTGGTTGTAAAGTAGGATAATTGATGCAATGATCTGTTAACTTTTACACTATATACTCTTATTCACTACTAAAAAAAGAGTGAAGACCGACCTACAAATACCGACTTCCGGAGGTCAATATTCCCTGAAATACCGACCAAATACCGACTTCCCAGCTTAGGTCGGAATAAGCTTTTTTTACTTTAACTAGTTTAGTTTTGACTTAATACAACAACTAAATCTACCAACTAAATCACATTATTTATTTTAATTTATCTAAACAACTTAACAACTTTTTAACTTTTAACTACATTAGTTTTGACTTAATTCCAACAACTAAATCCACCTACTAAACCACGTTATTTATTTTAACTTATTTAAACAACTTAACAACTTTTTAACTTTTAACTACATTAGTTTTGACTTAATTCCAACAACTAAATCCACCAACTAAACAACTCAAAACTAAATTTAAAGCTAAGTGTCAACATTAGATGGACACGAATCGATCTTGCAAGAAAATCAATTTTGTCATCAATAGGATCAACTAGTGTTGGTACTTATGCTTAACATATATATTATTTCTAAATTTAAAGTTAAATGTCAACCCTAGATGGACACAAATCAATCTTGCAAGAAAATCAATTTTGTCATCAATAGGATCAACTAGTGTTGGTACTTATGCTTAACATATATATTATTTCTAAATTTAAAGTTAAATGTCAACCCTAGATGGACACAAATCGATCTTGCAAGAAAATCAATTTTGTCATCAATAGGATCAACTAGTGTTGGTACTTATGCTTAACAAACACATTATTCCTAAATTAAAGCTTAATAGCAACACTAGATGGACACAAATCGATCTTGCAAGAAAATCAATTTTGTCATCAATAGGATCAACTAGTGTTGGTACTTATGCTTAACAAATATATTATTTCTAAATTTAAAGCTAAGTGTCAACACTAGATGGACACAAATCGATCTTGCAAGAAAATCAATTTTGTCATCAATAGGATCAACTAGTGTTGGTACTTATGCTTAACAAATATATTATTTCTAAATTTAAAGCTAAGTGTCAACACTAGATGGACACAAATCGATCTTGCAAGAAAATCAATTTTGTCATCAATAGGATCAACTAGTGTTGGTACTTATGCTTAACAAATATATTATTTCTAAATTTAAAGCTAAGTGTCAACACTAGATGGACACAAATCGATCTTGCAAGAAAATCAATTTTGTCATCAATAGGATCAACTAGTGTTGGTACTTATGCTTAACAAATATATTATTTCTAAATTTAAAGCTAAGTGTCAACACTAGATGGACACAAATCGATCTTGCAAGAAAATCAATTTTGTCATCAATAGGATCAACTAGTGTGGACACAAACACATTATAGAAAACAATTGTACTTGAACTTTAGAAATTTAGAAGCACCAAACCTAATCTCCTACTTTGATGAAAGAAGCATTATAGTCTTGTATCAATTTTTTTAGATGTTGAGCTTCCTCAGTTGCCTAGCACGAAAAGAAACAAATGCTAATCGGTTCATTGAAAGTAGTATAAGAATTGAGAACAAATGCTGAAAAACATAGCCAAAAAGAAAGAGAAAAAAAAGACTAGCTCATGTTTTGAACAGGAAATAAGAAGTGTTTCATGCTTACAGAACTGCAACAGAAAATATCACTCCAGCCAAGAAACAATGCCCTAAACATGGCTACAATCATTTTTTTCTTTCCCATTGGTTACTGGACAAACAATCTAATGATGAGAAATCCAATTTGGTCCCAACTGACTATTATTACTACAAGGCCTTTTACATGTAAGACAAACCTCATTAAGGCAGTATTTGTTATAATAAATCAACTGCATCTGTGTTTATCAGACTTATGTCATTTCTACCTCAACCAAAGTTTATAACGCAAGGTAAATTTTGAGAAGATTGATGCTAAGCAAGCAGAGAAAAACTATTTGTCCATAGGCCTTTGAGAGTGTCACTGGTTTGCAAGATTATTTGGCTACAAAGTTCTCACTAAAGTCAAGCATGAAACCACATGAGCTAGTCTTTTAGGTGAGGAAGTACAAAAACACAGTTGTTTGATTCTCAAAATAAAACATACAAAAAACAGTCCAATGCGAGGACAAAACATCAGCAATGAGCTAGTTCGAACTGGGTTCTAAAAATTCTAAAAATTCACCCTGAGTAAGAAGGTCGGGGATGGTGGCGCGAACTGCTGCGGCTGATCGAGGCGGCGCCGGTCGGGATGGTGGCGCGACCTCCTGCTGCTGCTGCGACCTGCTGAGGCAGCGCCGGTCGGGGATGCGTGGGGATGGGCGCCGATGGGGGTGGGTCGGGTGAGAGAGGAGTGAGAGTTGACTTACGGTTTTGATATTATCATTCTTTTTTTTTGTAAGAGAAGTATTTAATTTACCGATCACGATAGGTTGGTATCTTTTAAAATAATTATTTATATTTAAAAATATTTAATAAAAATCGATATCGTGAAGTTGATATTATTTAAATAAAATAATAATTTAAATATACCGACCTCTTAATACCTAATTATATAAATTTAATTTTATCGATCAATAGAAGTTTATCAATATCGAATTTAATATATAAATCTCCTTGAATTAATCATCGGTATTTCTTTAATGGGGAAAAGGACAAATATACCCCCGAACTTTCAAAAATGGTATGTCAATACCCTCCGTCATACTTTTCGTCCATCAATACCCTCGCCGTCCAATAACCAGTGCACATATACCCCTCCCACTAACGGAAGACTCATTTTGTACACGTGGCACAATCCTACACCTCAACCAGTTTGACCAAATATTTAACCCAAATTTCAAATACCCGCCCCATTACCCATTTAACCCACCCGATTTACCCACAAATAAACTATCTAAAAACATAAAGAAAAAAGCCCCTTTACCCGTTTCTTTCGTTTATCTCACAAACCCTATTGCCTGCCATCTTTCTGGACAACTATTCTTCTGCAGATGTATCATGTACAGGTGTTGATGCAGAGGCGTATCCAGGAGGGGGTCACCAGGTTCACGTGAACCCATGCTCCCCTCCTGAAATCATAAATAGTAGTGTTATATTTTTTAAAAAAATATTAAAATATAGATATGTGAACCCATAGTTGAAGTATCATACCGTGCGATTCTGATTAGGTGCACCTCTCTAAGTGAGGTTAGAAATTTGAATCTTTTATTTATCTCATTTTATTTTCATTTCTAAATTTGAATGACGCCTCTCTAAGTGGTTTGGATAGGTAAAAATAATTTTGGACCTATAATTTTAAAATTTTAATTATATTTAGTGATAAGAACCTAAATGTTAAATCGATCAAATTTATATCTTAGATCGACCTTTTCGTAATAGTGCACCCATCATCTCAAAATTCTGGATACGCCTCTGTGTTGATGGTGATGGACTGGTAGGTGATGAATGAGTCGTTGGTTGTTTCCTTTCAACCGATATAGCTCTCTTAGGTAACGAAAGTGTTGATGCAGTAGTTCCAATTCTTGTGACATTTGGAGAAGAACAACGTCTAGGGCCAGAGGAAGCTGATGGAGTAGGTGACCTGTACTTAGAACTAACTTCTCTTGTTCTTGGCCTGCGGGTATTTCCATGGTTCTTTTCAGCCTGAATCAATGGAACTCTTTTTGTCTCCACTGTTGAATTCTTCTTTAATGCTATCTCTGATTCATACACATCCATCCAAACTATCCAGATTAAACCGCATTGATGATATCCACCCACTTTATTATATTAATAACTTCAAACCCATTCTTGAGAACCTCTCAAGAATGGGTAAAGGGACTTTTTTCTTTATGTTTTTTGATAGTTTATTTGTGGGTAAATCGGGTGGGTTAATTGGGTAATGGGGTGGGTATTTGAAATTTGGGTCAAATATTTGGTCAAATTGGGCTGAGGTGTAGGATTGTGCCATGTGTACAAAATGAGTCTTCCGTTAGTAGGAGGGGTAAATGTGCACTGGTTATTGGACGGCGAGGGTACTGATGGACGAAAAGTATGACGGAGGGTATTGACATACCATTTTTGAAAGTTCGGGGGTATATTTGTCCTTTTCCCCTTCTTTAATTGATAATGTATTTCATATCTGAACCACTAATATACAAGACTTGATTTGTTAAACTACTCGAGGAGTATATAATTAATCAACGTATTTCATACTCCGATGAATTATCCTTTACATGTCATCATTGCCTACGATATGATCACTACACTTGACATCCATTCAAGATCGAACGTATATAATAATCTTGATAGAACTTTCTTTATACAGTAATTTACGATGTTCTATTGTCTATTTCATAAAATAATATAAGATCACATTGAAGGTTATACGTACAAATAATTAAACAATTAATTATATAAATATAAAATTTATAATTAATTGTTATCATGACATTTCTACAAGTATTATCTCGTATTTCATACTCGAATGGATTATATGTTAGCACTTCACCTCTACATCATTACATGAAATATTAAGTTCATGATTTGACGACGGACTGATAGAATTTGTACATTACTCTAGAAACATAAGTATAATTATCTCCTAATTCATATCAACGTAGTTTCATACTCTAAATATGAATTATTGTTGTTTATTTGTTTATTCCACGAATTCTAACTTTCTATTTATAAAATTATACAAAATTGTTACACTTTTTGAAACAATTTTTGCAAGTGTAAAATGAAAATTTAGTATTATGCACAATCGCAAAATTATGATTAATAGGAATATTTTTAACAAACCGACCTTCCGATGTCGCTTTTATTGAAAGTAATTATATTAAATAAAAAATACCGACAACATGAGGTCGGTATTTTATATTAATTTATTTTTTAACTTATATAAAACCGTCATCCGGAGGACGATTTATTTAAATTAATTGAAAATATTAATTTATTAATTTTCTGAAGTCACTATATAAATATTTTAATGGAAATTAATTTAATTACATACTATTTAATTTTACCGACTTTCGAAAGTCGGTATTATAATTTTTTTTGTTTTTTATTTTACACAAATCATCCTCCGGAAGACGATTTAAATAAAATTATTTCAAAAAAATTCTCAAATTTGTTTTTTATATTTAATTGAGAAAAATTAAAATATTGTTATTTATTTATTTATTTTATACCGACATTAAGAGGTCAGTTTTTATTGTAATTCCCTTTTTTTAGGAAAAATTTCGACCTCCAGAGGTCGGTATTTGGTTTTTCCGTTTTATTTTGCATAAAAATCGACCCCTTGTAGTCGGTTTTCTAAAGTTTTTTTTTTAAAAAAAAATACCTACTTCCATTTGAGGTCGGTAATTTTTAGGTCGGTATTCACTGTTTTTTTAATAATGATTATGTCATTTACCTACATCAACCATTTCACATACACATGTTTTTTTGTTTTCCGCAGCTATGCACCATTAGACAATGTCTTGTGGCGTTTTATTAAAAATAAAAAATAAAAAGTCACATACACTTTTTTTTTGTTTTCCGCAAATCTGTACCATTAGACAATGTCTTGTGGCGTTTTATTAAAAATAAAATAAAAAAAGTCATGGATAAGTATAAGCAAGGGGAGCTAGGCCTCTCCTTATAAAATCCTAATGAAGTATATCAAACCTCTACTAATTAACAAGCTTGAAGAATATAAAAATTATAGAGAACTAGATGTCTTATGATCACCACAAAGTTTGTAATATGCTCATTTATATTATAAATGAAGATGCTTAAATAATGTAAAAAAAATTAAGACAAGAAGAAAGTTGAATTTTCAAACTCAAACTTCCTTTCACATGCACATTTACTATCACATGTATTATTTTTTATACTGTTGTTCTATTCTTCTTTTCATCATCACCGAATTACCATGCAAAGTATATACCACTTGAAAATATTAAATGTTGAGCCCGTATTAAGCACGGGCCATATCTATCTAGTTATTTATGAATGTATCAAACCTACCAACTTATACTATGAAAGTTTGAGAGATGCTAGTTGAAGTTGTTAGAAGAAAAATAACAGAGAAATTAAAAGTTTTGAGGCTGAAAGATCACTATCTTTCAAGAGTTATTGTCTGTATATTTTTTTAGGGATACAAACAATTTTCTATCAGGATACAACAAAGCTAAAAACATATATGTAATTGAATTCGCTACTTTTCGGAATGCTTCGTATTTATAGAACTTAAGAGATGACTTTTCATAATAGTCACGTTCTTTCATGAACTTAGATGACTTTTCATAATAGTCATGTACAAATGACTTTTTATGAAAGAAACTCATTTCTAAATAATCACAATTTTTAGTTGCTTCCTTTTTGAAAAGAAAAACTTTTGTTGCTCCTTATTTGAACATACAAAAATTTTAAAATTTAAATTTTAAATAAACAATTTATTCAAAATAAATTACGAAAAAATAAATCTTTAAATTTAATTAAATATCCGATCCGGCCCGCGCCTCAAGTCCAAGTCATTTAGATATATATTATTAAATATATATAAGTCGACTTACTTTATTAAATAGACTAAGAGCCCGTTTGGATTGACTTAAAAAAAGTCACTTTTAAGTCAAAAATAAAAAGTCAAACTGAAATGACTTTTAAGTCAAAAAATAAAAAGTAGGGAGACCTACTTCTAGTTTCTGACTTATTTTAAGTCATTTTTTACCTTGCCAAACACTTCGTGACTTATTTTAAGTTATTTTTTATATTTGTCAAACACATCCAGAAGTCAAAAACTGACTTAAAAGTAGGTTTGACCAACTTTTAAGTCAATCCAACACCCTCTAAATGGGTAATGCTTAAAAAGACCTAAAAGATACTTCTTTCACCAATGTGAGAACTTTTCCTTTATATTACAACTATCATAACAAAAATGAGAATAAAGAGGAATATGAGTCTATTTTGAGAATCAATTTAGAATTCATGTCGAAGTTATCCATAACGAAAGTCATTCACTTATAAGGGAATTGTTGGAATAATACATGTAGAGGAAACAAAGCTTACATATAGTGCATACATTAGAGTGCGTTAAGATATGTATGATGGAGCTAAGACTGGATATTCGAACCCATGTTTCGGGGGTGAATCATTTAGCTTGTATCAATAGCACAATGACACTCATATGATTCTCATGGATGCACTATTAATTATATCTTAATTTCTGTCAGTTTCTCAAGATATATATATATATATATATACATACACACATGATTTTTTCCGAAGTTAAAGGGTGCACGTGCTCCCCCACTTAATAAGGTAGGTCCGCCTCTGGTTTCATGCGGAAGTTATAAAAGCAAACCTCGAAAGATCATGAGTAAGAAGACAAACGAGAAACATATCATAAGACACAAAGAATTAACGTGGTTCGGTCAATCGATCTACATCCATAAAAAAGATGAGCAATCCACTATATAAATATGAGAGTACAAGGAGGTTTACACAAGTGATAACTATCACTTGTATCCCACAGATTCTCCCCCTTAACCATAAATCTCAAATCCCCTAGAACTACATTGTGAATGCTAATTAAATTAGAAGGAATAAGCTTTTATTTATAGAGTCCTAAATCTTCTCCTACGAGAAAGAGACTAGTCAATTCCAAACCTTTTCCTACAAGAAAAACCCATTGACCTCACTCCTCAGTCCCTATTTTGCTGACCATCATAATGAATTGTTTTATCAATGACATAAATTGGGCATAACGTATTAGTGTCTACTAGAGTGCAAAATTGTCACACAATTTGTTTTTGCCCTAACAGCTGACTTAAGTTTAACTATTTTTCTGCAGATGTGCATTCTTATATTTGTAGGAACAAATGGTGAAACCTACTTCAACACAGCAACTTTAGTTTCTTGTGTGCGAAATTTCCCAAAAAGTCGTGGTCCTGTGGTTGGAATTCTTAAGGGATTTGCTGGCTTAGGTGGTGCTATTTTAACTCAGATATATGCAGTAATCCATTCCCCGGATCACGCTTCACTTATATTTATGATTGCCGTTGCACCAGCAATGGTGATTATAGCTCTCATGTTTATAATCAGGCCTGTTGGAGGCGACAAACAAGTTAGGCCTTCTGATGGACTAAGTTTTTCATGTGTTTACAGTATATGCCTCATATTAGCTGCTTACTTAATGGGAGTTATGCTTGTTGAAGACTTTATTGATGTTAGCCAAAATGTTATTATAATCTTCACAGTTATTTTGTTTGTCATTTTGATAATCCCTATTGTGATCCCTATCTATTTGAGTTTCACTCAAGAGCCAAGAGTAGTACCAGAAGAAGAGGCACTTCTATCTCAGTCAGGCGATCAAGGTCCTGGCAGATCAGAACACGGCGATGGTCAAGAAATTATATTTAGTGAGGCTGAGGAGGAGAAGTCAAAGGGAGTAGACTTGCTTCCTGCTTTAGAAAAGCAAAAAAGAATCGGGCAATTACAAGTGAGACTAGCAGAAGGAGCTGTGAGGATCAAAAGAAGACGAGGTCCTCGTAGGGGAGAGGACTTTACTTTAGTCCAGGCTTTAATAAAAGCAGATTTCTGGCTTATGTTTTTCTCACTGCTTTTCGGTTCTGGATCTGGTTTGACTGTCATTGATAACTTGGGACAAATGAGCCAATCTTTAGGATATGAAAACACACATGTATTTGTTTCGATGATTAGCATATGGAACTTCCTTGGCCGTATTGGAGGTGGATACTTTTCTGAGATAATAGTCAGGTATTAACTTATCTTAAATGCATATTCAAATCTCATAAATCTCTCACACGACCTTGTCAAACAGGGATAATGCATATCCAAGGCATGCAGCTATGGCTATTGCTCAAGTTGTGATGGCCTTTGGTCATTTCTTCTTTGCTATGGGTTGGCCTGGAGCTGTGTATATTGGTACTCTTTTGGTTGGACTTGGTTATGGAGCTCATTGGGCGATTGTGCCAGCTGCTGCTTCTGAATTGTTTGGGTTAAAGAACTTTGGGGCTTTGTACAATTTCCTCATTATTGCCAACCCAGCTGGTTCATTAGTATTCTCAGGTCTTATTGCTAGTAGTATATATGACATGGAAGCTGAAAAGCAAGCTCAACAACCCCATGAAAGACGCTTGATGGCATCAGTTTTGACAAGATTTTTGAACATGGATGAACCTCTCAAGTGTGAAGGTACCATTTGCTTCTTCTTGACTTCCTTGATAATGTCAGGACTCTGCATTGTTGCAGCTGTTCTAAGCATGATTCTGGTGTACCGCACAAAGACAGTGTACGCTAATCTGTATGGAAGATCTCGTACGTAATGTATCCTCGAAGGATAGAAATATAAGCATCCTGAAAAAAGACATTGTCTGCCAATTCATATTTCCACATATCATTATAATGTGACACTGGAAACCATCACCAGAATACTTCCAGGTGAGAGCAAACGACGAAGAAGACAATAGCCTGGTTTTGCTGTTGCAAAAGCATTCCTTGGTTGAGTGAAATAATATTTGTATTGCAAGTCATTTCTGTATATTTGTAATTTCTCAATCTTCAAGTTGTTAAATTTTTTATTGTCAACCACCATTAGTAAGAGCGTTGATTGATTTTTTGCTAATTGGCAAATCCTTTTCTGTCAGAGATTGGTCCAGTGACATTGA